CCTAAGCATGCAGTCCCCTGCTGGCCCCTCCTGGATGTGTGCCAGAATAATTTTCTCGAACAGCTTGCCTAGGATTGAGGTAAGACTAACTGGCCTATAGTTTCCTGGGTCCTCCTTCCTCCCTTTTTTGAAAATGGGAACCACGTTGGCCCTCTTCCAGTCCACTGGTACCTCTCCAGAGCACCATGAGTGCTCGTAAAGCCATGCCAGGGGACTTGCAAAGACCTCAGCCAGTTCCTTTAGAACTCTAGGGTGGAGATCATCCGGACCGGCTGACTTGAAAACATCCAGCCCCTCCAGAAGCTCCCTAACTAAATCCTCGCTAATCCTTGGCCCAGGTGTGCCACCCCCCGGGGCCCGAGGGGGGCCCAGCAGGGAGGTGGCTGTTCTGGTCCTTACTTAGGAAGACGGAGGCAAAGAAATCATTAAATATGTTAGCTTTGTCATCTGGTGTGAAGACCAAATTTCCCAAGCCATCCTGCAAGGGCCCCACATTACCCGGGACCTTCTTTTTACCCGCTATGTATTTAAAAAAGGACTTCTTCTTGTCCTTAATCTGGGACAAGTTGTAGGATTGCAGATAAACTCTTGCATCACAAAGCCAGAAAAAAAGATAGGCAATTATATGGTTTCCCCCCCACTTTTAATTAAAAAAAATCTCTCTTTTTAAACATTTTTAAACCAACCTCATGAATGTGGAGGAGAGAAGAAGGTGACTAATGAGTTTGGAATGCTTAGAGTAGAAAATGCTCATGTGGCATTTGGGCCAATCTCCAAACATTAATTTTAAGCCAAAAAATAACCCTTAAATGACTTGTACAAAGTATACCTATATAAATAAGGGCAAGTCCCCAGCAGAAAACATAAAATGTAGAACAAAAAGTGTCAATAACTGCAAAAAAAAATAAACTTCAGTGGAATTAAGAAAAAAATAAATATACAATGTGTAAAAGAATACAATGTGTAGCCAAATTAGAATTTGGCTACACATTGCAGTTTAAAATTCTTACTCATGAAAAAGTTACAAAGGGCATTCAGTGGCCACAGAGTATGAGGGTTTGGGTTTTGTTTCTTAAAATGAATTTCATGTTGGTTTGGGGTTTCAGGCTTGACATTTTTGTAGGTCATCGAACTGTATGTGACTTGCATCTGCCTTGAATGGCAGGCAGCTACTGTCAGATAAACAGATTTGCATCTTGGAGCCCCACAGGGTATATTGTATGGTCTTGCTGAAAAATGACTAAACATGTGACAGGAAACCATGCATGGTTCAACAAAATTTAAAAAGCACCATAATTCCAGGTTCAGATCAAAACACTGATATATGTACTTAGGGCAGTGTACAGTTTGTGCTTTCAGGAGAAAAGGAATTGATAATTTAGCTCTTTAGCTCTTGGTGTTGGCTTGCAAATGCAAACTGTTATTGGAATCAACAGGACTCAAGAGGGATAGATTTAAGCATAAAGGCCTAGGTGCCACACAAACTCAAGCTGTCTCAATGGTGTCCACTGTTGGGTTCATCAAGGAAGAGCTGGAATGATTTAGTGACTTAACAGAGAATGGGTGTGTAGTGAAGCAGTAGATGGAGACACAGGTCAGCAGTCACCCCATAGGGCTGGAACAGGCCCAGAAATTTAAGGAATCTGTCCCCTTTTTTCCCTACCCCATAAATTAAGGCAATTAAGGTTTCCTACTGCTTAAACAGTTTTGCATAAGTACTCTGTTTCAGAACTTTAGAAAAGGAGGGCACATGTAGCACACAAATTCTCCTTTGAATACTCACAAAATTGCCCATAACTCCCTTTTACTACAGACATAAACCAGACACATATACCCCTGGCTTGAGCTGTGTCTCTTCAAAGTAGAAAATAAGTTATATTTTCCTTTTTTGGTGAAAGTTTGATATTTAAATCTGAATGATAAACATATTTATCTTGCTGTATTTCCATTTATTTTAGTCCCTTATCTTTTTTCCTTCTAAAATCCCAGTATATTCTCCCCCACTCCCTTTTTCCATGCATGTTCCTTCAGGCTAGATTTAGCTTCACTACCCTCATCCTGTTCATCCCATTTCCTAATCTGCATCCTGTCTCTTCCTCTAGTTTTTTTATGTACTATCAAAATAATATTCCTTCCATTTAATAACTTTCTTCCATCCTATCTTCTCTCTCTCTGCCTCATCTTCCTGATTCAGGTTCTTCTTTATTGTGTCCTACAGCTGTCACTTGTTCACCAGTAAGTCATCCACAGACTGTTCACCTGTGTATACCTCCATATTGTCTTGCTTGCTACCTCCCAACAATGGCTGAAAGAAGTGAAAGTGAGAGATGTTCAGTTAAAGGCAAAATGGGATCTAATCCATAATCCCAACAATTATGCCTCCTGCCATGCCACATAGACATGGCAGGAAGTGCAACCCTGGGATTGGGGATTAGATCCCAATTGCATCACATTGCCAGTGCAGAGGGAGATCAGGATCATGATCCCAGGCACCCCCCTGCACTGGAAAGTGATACTCCTATGGATGGGAGCACCAATCACCTGATGGGCACTCCCAGCTACATGTGAATCAAGGGCTCCAGGCACTCCTATAGCTGGGAGCCCCAATCAGCTGACCAGTGCTCTCAGCTGCTCCCTGGCACATGTTCAATGTAAAGGTACAATGGGAACCAGCCACAAAGTTATTACATATTTTTGTGTCATAAATTTTGGCTTATTCCCTCTTTTATCTTGCCATTAACTGAATCAACATGTGGCAGGGTTACTACTTAAGATGCGATAAACTGGTTTAATCACATCTTAAGTGTAATGTCTGCTAAGGTTAGATAGAGAAACCTCCCTCATGCAGGACAGGAAAAGAAAAGCCACAACAAAACTGCAGCCTGTGACAACTCTGCAGGGGATAAGAAAATATAAGGGAACTGAGAAGTAAGCATTAGAGAGAAGATGGCACGCTAGGGAAGACATGGAGGAGCAGCAGAGGCAGCAGGTGAGCAGCTTCTCTGAAAGATTGGAGGCACTTAAAAGCACTCAGCTCTATATTTACACCGACAGTCAGGGGTCCCAGTTAACATTTGCCAACAATGTGTCCCCTTTAACCTGGCTGGTATGAATCAGTGTGCAGAAAAAAAATGTTGCCTACTTACAACCAAAAATATTAGTGCTAAAAGAGCTTGCACTCATTCATGAAAAGAAATATTGCCTCATTGCTAACCAGTATCTGTAGAGAGCTCCTTATGAACAACTAACTGAGTTAGGAAAGAATTTTAAAAACATTAGTCTAATAATATATAAATAATGGAAAATACATCTTTGAGTCTCTATATGTCCTAAACAGAAATATAGACTAAATTCAATGGATATATTACTCACAGCAATATATGTCCTTTGTTAAACTTGTCATGCCACTGGATATGAGGAATGAATGTAAAGTGCATTATTAATTTTATCAAAAATTATGTATGATGGATAATAAATTATTTTACCTTTCTCTTTTTGTAGTTTCTTTATGTTGGTCCCAGTGTCTTGATCAAGGAGTTCTCCATCTCTAGTGTTGGTCAGCATAGCTACAAATTGGAAAGTACAACTTTAGTGTAGTCAACAGGAAAAAAAATACGCAAAAGAGAATGAAAATAAATTATATTTCTTCTTTGCCAAAATGTTGCTATTTTTACATCTGTATATGGTAATGCAGGTTAAAAAATAATGGGCTTTTTTGGTTTGTTTTTTATCCATCAAATTCTAAATCTTCACCATTTTAGACCAAAGCACTAAGATATGCAGCAGAAACAATTTTCCTGGAATTTATTATACAAAGACATGAGAACAGACCAAAAATTACCACTGGGATGAGTGAGATTTCCTATGAAATGTTCAAATGAACTAATTAAAAAAGCACTTCATAGAAATCATTTTAGGGCAAAATACATTTAATAGATCAGAGGATTTAAAGAATTAGTAATTATCTATAATGCAGCTTGCTTAATAAAGAAATACAGACAGATAGATGGTTAGCAACCCAAATTGATGGATGACAGCTAAAAGACAATTCTCTATGCTGTTGAAAGAGCAATTCTTTACTTAACACCTGCAAAATCAGTGAGACGTGTTAAGTTTATGATTTCAGGATGCTTAGTTTCTTTGTTCTTATTTGGTTAAAATATTACCCTCTCTACAATTAAATGATTATAGAATTTAAAGTCACTCTAGTTCAGGAGAACTGTTAAAACTTTATGTTAATACTTTCAGGACTGTTTTATCTGGAAATAGCAAAAGCATTAAAAAATATTATAGAACCTTCTAAAACTAGCACAATGCAGACAAATCCCAACATTCAACACAGATAAATATTTTGGCTCTGAAAAAATTTAAGTGATATGTTAAAAGTTGGGGGCCTGTTTGGAGTGTGTGAGGAGAACAGTACCATATTTAATAATATTTTAAATTGCTAAAGCACAGAGATTTCCAAAGATAATTATGTTGATGATTAATCATATATATATATTGCAGTAGCATTCAAAAACCACAATTGGAATCAAGGCCCCATTTCATTATGTACTGCACAAAGAGGAATTCCTCACCTTGGAGATTTTAAAGCATCAGTTAAATAATTAAGCTGCACAACACAAAGTAGCTCAGGAACCTGACTGCATGCCTACACTGGGCACACAAGTTTTAAATATCAGCTCAAATACCATTGCCAATGTATCTGCATGGAGCTAAGAACAGATTTCTAGAACCTGGATAACTCCTCAGGCTGTTGGCCTAAACTGAGTTCTATGCTACTCCATCAACACTGATTTATGGGCCCATGCTTATTATCACAAAACTAACTCAGGTATATCTGCAAAAGCTGCAGGGATTGATGGGCAGAGAGGTCAAGTTACTTGTCCAAGTTCAAACAAGTTTCCTGTGGGACAATCACAAATAGAATCCAGATCTCCACATTTCATATCTATGTTTTAAGCACAAGGGTACCATCTTAAATAAGGCAAGGACTGGTGACTTTGGTGAAATTTAAGAAAAAAAAAAACTTCTTATGACTATGGGGAAACTGTGCTCCCTCCCCTCTGAATTAATGAAATGGTTAAGATAGATTTGCAAAGTTGGGGGGCAATACAGCAAATCCCAAATTCTGAGAGTCTTCTTTCAATTCCAGCTACCTTAAAAGGCACATTCCCACCATCGTAATTATTTAGAAGAGTATGTTGTGGGCCAATACACGTCAAATTAGAGCAGGGGCAATATACCATGGGACTCTGTTGACATTTAATTTATTAGTCTGAGCGGGTCTGCTCTCTTCATTGATAAACAAGATAAAAGATAAATACACTTTACACAGCTTTATACACTGTATTTTAATTTAAAAAAAATACATGACTGCTTTCTAGTAGGTTATCTTAAATGTAATTCTTCCAGTTTGCCAAGCACACTTCTCCAAACTCTTGAGTCAGTAGCTTTTGAGGGGAGTGGAACTGGCAGTAATAAAGTACTAACCAATTCTATCTGGTGTGTTGTCAAGCTGGGATGGAGAGCTGGACACACTACTGCTCTGATGTGAAGAAGCATGACTTCCAGGTCTCTGACTATCTTCCAGAGATGGAGCAGGAGAAGGACTGTCTTGAATTCTCTCCTTAAAACAGAAAACAAAATAATATATGTGCAACTGTGTAATTTTGCCTAAGTTACTTAACAAATTATAAAATTAAAACAGCTAAAATAGCAAATCGTTCTTTCTTGTCAAACTAAATGATATTCTTTTGTGGACTCATATTCAGAGATCCAGTCCAGTCTTGAGTACACATGGTTTCTATGAACCCTGTGACCACATTAGGTGTCATGCTATAGCAGAAAAAGAGGACTTTTTTTTGTCTACGCAATTACTTGAGTTGTTCCTTTAAGGTGCGCATACACATGCACGGAGGCTGCTCCGACACACCGTAATTGATCGAGTCTGCTGGAGCGTGGTAAGTCCTGCACTCCAGCAGACTCTAGAATCATATGCATCAGAGTCCCCGCATTGAAAAATGGTGATAGGACACTGATTCACATGCCGCTCTAGGCACTTTAAGCAGAACAGTTCTCAGAGCCACTGTAATTCAAGTCCCCCTTCTGTCCCCACCTCCTGAAGCATGCGTATAAGCGCCCTTAGTTTACAACTTTTCACTTCAATACCAAATAATAGATTTCCCTCCTCGGTGAATTTGTCATTTTTAATTATACTATTTATGCCTAATAAAGAAAAGCCATATTTTAAAGAACACAATTGGATTTTGGCTAAGCTGGCCATTTGGATTTCAAATTGTATTAATAATGAAAAACTTGAAGATTCATTAAAAAGACTATTGGTCTACCAGCATAACTTTTATCAGTGCTCATTAAAGACACACTACACAGGCTTTCAAAGCCATACATGCAAAAGGCATGCACGCTTTTGCACACAATTATCTTAAACTATTTACAACCCAATATGCACAGGAGAAAGAAGTGCATGCATGCATGCATGCCACGAAGGAATGTTAAGAACAGAAATCAGTTCTTCACAGAAGAGTTAGATCAACTTAATAATAAATGTGCCATGTTGGAAACGCGTTAGATTTTCTGAGGTAAATTTGCTGGTATTTGGTCAAGAGGTTCCCAAGAGACTGTCCACCGAACATGTCCTATTTTCAGAACTAGAACTTACAAAGCAGCATGGGAATTATCTGTGGATGGCCATAGCCTCTAGCAATTCCTTTACATTTTTGGGTTCTAAATCTTCTTGATTCTTTTGCAAGTAGGGAAAAAACCCCACCTCGTTACACTGTAATCTGAGGACAATGATTTAAAGATAACCTAGTAAATTTCCTCCCTTTCTAGTCAACTCAAACTTTTTCATTCAGAGGATATAACCTGGCCCTTTGCTGGCATCTTAATATGTGCTAGAGAGGGGGAAAAACCCCAAAAAGGATTTTTTTTTCTTTTTAACTTCTAAAAATATCTCTAAGATGTGCCTAGTATATTCTAAAAGTCCATTATAACTAACTAACTTTGTTTCTGTTCATAATTTAGTGCTCTAAGTCATTAATATCAGTAGCAATCAAGTTGTTATTTTAGGGATATTCTGTTACTCATTAGAGCTACATTTCTAAAATATGCTCTACTTTATATTTAGGGATACATTGTAGCATAATGCACAGGGAATTGAAAAGCAGCTCTGCTAAAAGAGAATGGGTGTTGTTTGTCTATTCCAATCACACCAACTAAAAACGTAGCCTTGAATGCACTCTAATAGGATAGTTATTCTACATTAAATAACAACTGAGCCTCACAATCATGTAACAGATGCATATCTATTACATAGCTGTTAATCCTCAGTGGATCTGTTTTCACTAATTATCTGTTATTTAATGAACATACAATAACTAATAAAACTGAAAAAGAGACTTTTAATTGCAGTAGGTTTTGTAAGCTAATTAAAAATGTTTATTAAGTTTTAATAGATTTGAATCCATTATAGGGACATTGAGCCTCAATGGCTTTAGATTTTGAAAAATCAGGTCTTTATATTAACTGCCTCATTTCTAACTCTGTCTAGAAATCAGCAATGTCAAATTGGTTGCCTTTAAAATTATCAGGTTTTCTTCCTCCATACTGTAAAACATCCCAAAAGAATTTAGGAACCAGGGGATGCTGAGGGTAGGAGGCAGCAGAGGAAGAGACCTTTTGCTTTCTCACTTGAAATATTATTTATTATGTCACACAATTAATTTAACATGTCCAGGGCCTATCTTATAGGTGCCATGTGTGTGAATCTTCTATTAAATGTATTGACATAGCAGCTACTGGACTGACCCCAGGTGAGAACAGTTGTTACTTTATCTTCATCTGCTTCTTTTTATTTTCATGGCTGCCTTTGGCACTGTTCCCAGACTCCTGTATCTAAAGGAGTATTCATTCTACTATTAATTCAGTTCAGAATTTTAAAATTATTAATTTGCCACATTGTGTTCTTTAAGTAATTTATGTAATTTAGAACTACACCATTTCTAAATCAATAGTTAGGCTCAGGTGATAATAATCTATCCTCATGTATACTACCATATGATGTATAAATTGCAGCCCTTGTGGTGTCTACAGGGACATTTTTATAACAACCTTGGGAATGAAAAGCCAGGGAGAGAGTTTGCCAACTTCTCTGAAAAATAGATTTCAATAGACCAAATAATGTTTATTTAACACTCAGAAATCACCCAAACAGCAGTATATGCCATCTTTAAATTGAAATTATTTGAGTAATTCAAAAGCAGATGATTTGGAAAGCATATTTTCCCATTCTCTCTGGTAACTGCATTTGACCATTATTTCCCATTATAAAGCAATCTTTACTTAAAACAATTTACCTTGAAACATGTGTTTTGGATTTGAAATTTTCAGGTAGGTATAACTGTAGCAAATACTAATTTCAGATTAAATCACACAGTGGATCACTGTGCAAAATAATTAGTTGGTTATGCTATTTAACAGTTATAAGAATGTACATTTACAGAGAAGCTTGCTTTCCCTGTAGCCATTACTGGAATTTCCTCTACATCATATGTACTACAGATGAGGATAGAATATTATCACCTGAGCCTGGATATTCATTGAGAAATAGTGTATTTCTAAATATTTGTGGGGAAATGTAATGCTGAGTTTCTCCTTCCATCATGAATAGCACTATGAACAGTTTCTTCCTTTCAAGTAAACAGATCCATTTTTCAGTCCTGTAATCAGTATGCATCTATTTAGCTACTTAACAGCAATGTGCTCTGGTTCATTAGGTAGCTACTGTTGTGTCTCAGCCTAGTTAAAATTTCACAGCAAGTTAATCTATTTTATTACAAATGAGAACACAAGTGATAATGTCCTCACCATTTTCCAAACACAGGGTTAACAGTATTTGTAACAAATCAATGAGGGCATTTAAATAGGAAAATTGCAAATCTAAAACCTTAACATTTTTTACACACTGATGAGTTCATTGCATTTGTCAGTTATGAATTTTACAGCCCTGTTATTGTTCATATATTTTATTTTTTTCTCTTGAAAATAGTATAGTTCCATTAGTATGTGGCAGTGCTGCCCGCTTCTACAGTAGGTACATTTACAGTATCTAAAGACTAATACTTCTAAACTAAAGCCATATTTTCCATATTCCATCTGTTTTCACATTATATAAACTTCAAAAATCATAGGTAAGGTTATGATATACTGGATTAGAGATAATTTAAAGGTATGTGCTTTGATTTAAAATCAAAACATACTGAAGATCTTATCTATTTATCTAACTACTATACCTACTCTAACTTATCTTTTTTCTTTTCTTTACAGACCTGACCCATAAATTCTCAAAAAAAAGACTTTTGCAGTATTAAACCATTTTGAAGGACAATGCATTTCTGTAGTCTCAGTAAAGGACAGTGTCTTCCTTTCACTCAGAAAATGTAGCTACAAAGCTTGACATTGTTTATTTTAGTTATGATTTAGGTTAATGGCACTAAAGTCATCAACTCTTCCAATTTCTAGGGATATCCTTGATTTCACTTCAATATCCCTTTTGCATCCCTTGTGAGGTGGTGTCCCACACAAGGAATGTAAAACACTAACATAACAGTTTCGTCCAAAATAGTTTTATTAGAAATATATATGAAGAGCTTATCTATTTTTGACATAATCATCTTGACCATAATTCCTTATCTTTGATATTTTACAATATCGATCACAATTTTGTGTGTTAAGAATTTAGAGACGCTATGGTGTTGGATTTGCTTTTTTATTTTTTTAGTTCTGATGTAGCTGTAATTACACTTCCAAATGTTAATCTATTAATGAGTTCCTAAAGGATTTAATGGCATTTCACTGCTGACAAGCAGCTTTTGGAAGTCTGTCTGAATCCTGGATATTTTATTCATACATTTGTCTTGATATTTCATATTTAATTGATGTGGTCCTTCTGTACTCTACAGGGTTCTACAGAGGCAAGGCATCTTGGAACTTAACAGACCTTGCTAATGAAATTTGAGGGGGAAAAATATGGGGTGGGGGGAGGAGGAGGGATTAGTTCCAGATTAGTGTTTGCCACTATTCTGAGAACAAACCTAGAGCTTCTGATTTTACTGGAAGAATCCAAATGTTGCTGAGTCCTGTAGAATAATGGTCATAATACCAATTTTGCTCAGTAATCCATCATCGCAATTTGTATGTTACTATACCGCCTCTCAGCAACCTCCTAAATTGTCTTTAAAATGAACTATTCGATAAAGTTAATATTCATACCCAAACTTGCACAGTGACCAAATAAATGTAAGCAGACACAAGATAAACCTGCAGTTTGTGGCTGTTAATATAAACTTGATTGCTGAAAGAGAAGCAACAAGTCTTGCAACCACTTCACCACCTACAAATTTCTCCTCAAAAGTGATTTACATAGTGCCAGGGAAGTAATTTTAATAGTGCACACTATATATTTTTATTAGGAGTCAACTAGTATTTATTTTCCAAACAAATTCAAGAAACCATAAAAACTCTTCTGTGTTTACTAATTTTAATACCAGATGTTCACTTGCTAATTCTACTGCCTTGTGACTATTTCCTATCAATTCATTAATTGCC